GCACCAGGCAGGCAAGTCACCATACGGTCAGTACGCGGGTTCGCCACCCAGCTGTCTACCTGCCTAAGGATCGAATCACCCACTACCAAGAGCCCCCCTCCCACCCTGCCCAGGGATGGTTCCTTGGTGCAAAAGGATACCTGCTCACCAGCTGGGGAAGAGGTCCCTTCTGAGGGCACATTCCCCTTATCCTCAGCACGGTGCCCTGTTTCCCCTAGACCCTCATGCTCCCTGACAGCAGCGGGGCTGCCAGATCCAGAGTGGGACATATCTAACAAGTCCCCGAGAGTCTTTTCTGTGTGCCTGACTGTCTCTGCTTCTCCAGGTCAGCCACCTTGGCCTCAAGGGAGCACACACGTTCCAGAGAACCAGGAGCTCCTTGCACCGAGCACACACCCAAGACTTCTGTCCAGTGGGCAGATAGTCATACATGTAACACTCCGTGCAAAACACTGGATAGCCCCCAACCCCCTGCTGGCATTCTGGCTTCATAATTCTTTTAAAATAAGTAATTATAACCCCCCCTTTTAAAACCCTTTGTTTTAAAAACCTCCAGGATCTCCGGTCAAGATCTCCGGTCAGGATGCAAAAAACCTCCAGGATCTTCGGTCAAACTAGCCCAGAGAAAATTGCTTCCTGACCTGAACGTGGTCGGCATTTCCCTGAGCATGTATGGAAGGGCCACGAGAACTAAGCACTGAGGCAACCCTTCCTGCCCTCCCTTCTCGTGATCTGCCCAACTTCACAGAACCATCATTGCTGTCAGATGGCCATCCGGCCTCTGTCTGAAAACCTCCCAAGGAGAAGAGCCCACCACCTCCCGAGGAAGCCTGTTCCCCTAAGTAACCGCTCTGTCAGGAAGTTCTTCCTCATGTTTAGCCAAAAACTCTTCTGATTTAATTTCAACCCGCTGGTTCTGGTCCGACCTTCTGGGGCAACAGAGAACAACTCCGTGCCGTCCTCTATACGACAGCCGCCCTTCAAGCGCTTCCAGGTAGTGGCTGAAGGTCTTCTAGACCAGGGCTGTCGAACTCATTAGTTATGAGTGCTGGATCTGACATAAATGAGACCTTGTTGGGCCGGGCCATGTGTGTCACAAAAGGTAATGTCAGGTAGCGGAGAGACAAACTTTATCAAGGACACAAACACAATTAAAGGTTTTTTTAAACTAAATAAACCATGTTTAAAACACCAGCACCCTTGCAATATGTTGTCTATTTAACAGTCTCTGGTAAGTGACACCTCTTGCTCAGAGTTATTGCAGCAGCAGAACTGGAAAAGGAAGCAGGAAACAGCCAGGGCCTTGCGGGCCAGACTGCAGCCCTCCGAGGGCCAGATCCGCCCCCGGGCCGCATGTTTGACACCCTTGTCCTAGACTGATCTCCAGGCGACAGAGATCAGTTCCCCTGGAGAAAAGAGCCACTCTGGAAGGCGGACTCCATGGCACTGCGCCCCACGGAAGTCCCTCCCCTCTGCATAGCCCACCCTCCTCAGGCTCCGCCCCAAAACCTCCAGGCCATTCTCCTCCTAGAGTTGGCAACCCCATCCCTCCTCCTCCTCCTGCCACTCCCGCCCCCACCCCAGCGGGCACTTACCAGAGACGGTCACAACAATATACTGCTGCGGGGCGGGGGCGGGTGTCTGCTGTCCAGTGGGCGGAGCCTGTGCCTGGGGAGGCGGGATTTCCGAGACATACTGTTTCGGGGCGGGCGGTTGCTGCTGCTGAGCGCTTTGCAGTTCGGCCACATACTGTTGCTGAGCTGCCGCCGCCGTCACGGGGGCCGCCGTCGCCGCCGTCGCTGCTGGCTGTTGCTGCGACTGTTGCTGCTGCTGCTGTTGTGGTGGCTGTGACTGTTGCGGGGCTGCCTGTAATTCCGTAATGTACGCCTGTGTTGCCATGCCAACAGTGGGGAAAATGATAATAAATAAGGCTTTTTTTTTTGCTTCCTTTCGTTGAGGAAAAAAAATAAAAAAGAGGAAAAGAAAAACAACAAATAGAACAAAAAAGAAAAGAAAGAACAACGATTAATCAATTACAAAAGCATTTCGCGGGCAGAATAGAGCTCCCTACAGTTCTATTCAGTTGAGCGCTAACTTAATAATACGCCGTGCTTTAATGCCCAATTGCAGGCAATTAGAGGGAAGAATAGCAGTAGGTAACGTTGATTACTCCATGTGGAAGTCAAGCGTGGAACCCTGGCAGTCACCATCTTGCGCGCATACGCGCACACACACACACAAGCTCACACGCTTCAAGAGCTGGCTTTTCTTCCAGCGGCCCACAGACCAACCCCGCTCACGGCTCAGGCCCTGGGACTTGTGGACTAATCAAGTGCCTTGTGGTCCAAAGGACAGCAGGAACGAAACGACGCCAGCTTGCAAAACGAAGGGCGGCGTTACTCTTTCTTTGAGTAAATACCTCTCCTGCCTGTGTGCGGACATTCTGGTAAGGGATGAAATGGGGGGAACCAAGGACCTGCGAAGACACAGCCTCACCCACCTCTGAGGACTCTGATGGGATTTGATGGGTCTGTTTGCGGAAAGGGAGGAGGAGGAGGAGGAGGAGGAGAAGAAGAGGAGGAGGAGGAGCAGGAGAAGATTGGATTTATACCCCACCCTTCACTACCGGAAGGAGTCTCAGAGCGGCTTACAATCTCTTCCCTCCCCCTCCCCACAACAGACCCCCTGTGAGGCAGGTGGGGCTGAGAGAGCTCTGACAGAAACGGCTCTTTTTCAAGAACAGCTCTGAAAGAACTACGGCTTGCCCAAGGTCACCCAGCAGCTGCAAGTGGTGGAGTGGGGAATCAAACCCAGTTCTCCCAGATTAGAGTCTGCACACTTAACCACGACACCAAACTGAAAAGGAATGCAATACTTCCAATGTGGTCTTCAACGTGGGAACGAGTGATCGGGTGGAAAGCCAGCATAAAAGCGTTTTGAATAAAATAAAAGAATTCTGAAAGCCCCCCAAAATGTGGTATGAACAAACGAGACCCATTGGGGCTAAGTCCCAGGGGCGTTTGATTAGTAGCTTATCACTTACCTGGTCACCTGTGGTAAAGAACAGTTGCCACCAGGCAATCCAGGTACGCCCTACCTTGATGGCTCAGGCAAGGCCCATCTCGTCAGATCTCAGTAGCTAAGCAGAGTCAACCCTGGTCAGTATTTGGATGGGAGACCACCAAGGAATACCAGGGTCAGTATGCATAGGCAGGCCATGACAATCCACTTTTGTCCATCTCCTGCCTTGTTTGGGGTGGGGCTGAGAGCCCCATCTTATCTGATCTCAGAAGCTAAGCAGGGTCGGCCCTGCTTAGTCCTTGGATGGGAGACCACTAAGGAAGTCCAGGGTCGCTGTGCAGAGGCAGACAACGGCAAACCCACCTCTGAACATTTCTTTCCTAGAAAACCCCTCAGGGTTGACATGAGTTGGCTGTGTCTTGATAGCAAAAAAAAAAAAAATTAAAATCCTTTAAGGTTAGAAAACAAAAGGAGGCCTCGTCAGCACCAGACTAGGCTACAGGGGTCACCAGCCAGTATCATCATGCCCCTGTATAAACACCAGACTAGGCTACAGGGGTCATCAGCCAGTATCATCATCCCCCTGTATAAACTGATGGTGCAACCTCATTTGGAGTACGGTGTACAGTTGTCAGCCTCCTTCTGACTCAAGGGGAAGGTTGGGTCGTGGGTTGGCTCCAGCGTGCTATTCACAAAGCAATTTGGCCTAGGTTCCCCTCAGAGTTGCCGTTTGAGAGCGACTCCCACTCTCTATCAGCCATGTGGGTCGTTAGACGAGTTCGAGTTACTTCACTCCTCTCTGTCTTTCTCACGACTTCCACATTCTCCTCCTCCCTGGGTACACCTGAGGGCCTTTTTATTTGCTTCGTTTACAGCACCTTGTGAACCCACCACCCAATTCTTAAAGGGATTCCACCACCAACCCGGTTTGGGTCCCCATTTCTCAGAACCTCGTGATTTTCCACCCATCTCTCCATCTATCAGAAGATTGTCGGCCAGCCCAACCATGTCCGCGGCCCCGACGTCCCCCTTTTGAGGACCCATCACCCCGATATGGTCTACAGGCCAAGACTCCTGAACCTCCGGGGAACGGTCGGGGTCCGGACGCCCCGGTTTCTCTAGTACAAAGGGGGTAGCTTCCTGCATAGGAGGGAGGGGGTTGAGAGCGCCCTCCTGA